GATTGTTTGACTCAGGGCATCTGTAAGACCTGGGCTCCAATTTTCCTGGGTTGCCCCCATTTGCTCCTTCTTTTCTTCCACAGACACAAATCTGCCTGGGATCTGATTGAGTACTGGTGATGGACACAGAGGCAGAAGACTGTTACTCTTGTTTCTTCTTTTCTAGGCTGGGAACCTGACGGTGCTAGCTACTGACCCCCTGCTCCACCAGACCCCAGTACAGTTAGATTTCCACTTCCGCCTCACCCCCCACACCTCTGCCCACTGGCACGGCCTTCTCTGTGACCACCGACTCTTTCTGGACATCCCATATCGGGCCTTGGATCAAGGCAACCGGGAAAGGTGAGTAAGCCTGTATGGGAGTGTGGGGAGGGAAATGGTAGGGATTTCACCCTTCTGTTGTGTCATAATCAGTTGAGAGCTGATTCAGGAGTTGGATACGGGCAAACCCCTCAACTGGCACAGACAAGCCTATGAGCTGAGCCACGATCACCTCCATGGGAAGTTGCTGGACTCAGAAACACAGAAGTGGGGATCCAGAAATAGTTGAATGACAGGAAGTCATTCCCAGCTGTTCATGTTAATAGAGCAATTCCTTGTCCTTAGATCCGTTCTGTTTATGCCTCAGTCTAGTAGTTTGCAATCCTTTGGCTTCATAGAACAATCTACCAAAACTAGCTTAACAACTTTCATTTTCTGGCTTGAGTGAGGGCAAAAACTGACCAATGAGCTTTTTCTGCTCCAACTAGGTGTCCTGGATTGAGCTGGCTGAACATTTCACTAACTGGGTTTTTCTGTCTGGCCCTAGTTTGACCGCAACACTGGAGTATGTGGAGGAGAAGACCAACGTGGACTCCGTGTTTGTAAACTTCCAAAATGATCGGAATGATAGAGGTGGGGATTGGCTATCCTCTCTTCCCCTTCATGCCAAGGCAGCCGGAAAGTTCCTTTTCCTTTGTAGGAGACCCTCTTCCTTCTTTTTTTGTCTTCCATCACAAAGGAAATTAAGGCCTCTGGCATTCTGCTCAGTCAGGGGGCCCCAGCAGGTGGTGGTAGAGGCAGACTAAAGGAGTGCTGGTGAGATCACACAGAATCCATCTGGGGATGTGACAGCAGGATGGAAAGCATCTCAAACAAATATACTTAGCACAAGAATGTATTTAACCGGATGCCTGGAGCATATGTTACAGAAACTATAACCTCTTCCTTCAAGACAAAAAGATGGTTAATAACTACTCATAGATACCATTTCAGAGCTTACTATGCTATCATATGTTAAGCATTTCATAAACATCTCATCTAATCTTAAAATTTATAATCTTAAAATTTTTCTCTGGCTCAGCGCCTATAGCTCAACCGGCTAAGGCGCCAGCCACGTACACCTAAGGTGGCGGGTTCGAATCCCCAGCCTGGACCCACCAAACAACGACGGCTGCAACCAAAAAATAGGCGGGCGTTGTGGCGGGCGCCTGTGGTCCCAGCTACTTGGGAGGCGGAGGCAGGAGACTCGCTTGAGCCCAGGAGTTGGAGGTTGCTGTGAGCTGTAATGCCACGGCACTCTACCCAGGGGGACAGCTTGAGGCTCTGTCTCAAAAAAAAAAAAAAAATTTTTTTTTTCTCTGTAGAGAAAACTGAAGTTCAGAAGGGTTAACTCATAGAATGTTATATGCCAAGTGTTAAAGGTTAAAGTCCGTGTTTGACATCCTTCCACCTGTACCGAACTGCTTCCCAGGGCCACACCCTGGTGGGAGACACCAGGTCTCTGGGGGAATATGAGTATCATTTCAAAGAGAATTCTTATCATGTGTTCTACCCTTTTGCAGGTGCCCTACTGAGGGCCTTCAGCTACATGGGCTTCGAGGTGGTCAGACCGGATCACCCCGCCCTCCCTCCCTGGGACAATGTCATCTTTATGATATACCCCCTTGAAAGGGACCCTGGCCACCTGCCCAGTGAGCCTCCCTGAACATGCTTATTCCAACTCTGAGGGGCTGGAAGCCCTGACACATGGGAACCAGGGGCCTGGGATGTGATTCGGGACACCTTCCTCCATCCTAGGAATAAAGGGTAGTGCAATCATGAAGTGTTCACTGTTTCTTGGGGGGATAGTAGGGTTGGCTGGCATGGAACACGAAACTTTCAGGGCGGAATTGACTAGAATAAACTTCTCATGACGGGAAATATCAGAGGAACATGAACCAGAGAGAGAAGGGACCCAAGGATTTGCCTTCCTTCCTGCTCCAAATCATTTCCCATTTATTCTAACCAATTACCTAGCACAGTGGTTCTCAACCTGTGGGTCATGACCCTTTTTTAACAATGAAAATACATTGTGGCATTTGGAAGGTTGAGAACCACTGACCTAGCACTTGTCAAGGGACAGGAAGTCCAGAAAAACTAGACCTTGATAGGTATATTTCAGTTCAAATTGGAAACAGGTGCTGACTCCTAAATGTGGAGAAAACCAAAGGCACATGGATCCTTGGGCTCACTGGGAAGATCAACAGATGAAATAAGCATAGACGGCTCGGCGCCTGTGGCTCAATTGGCTAAGGCACCAGCCACATACACCTAAGGTGGCAGGTTCGAATCCCCAGCCCGGGCCTGCCAAACAACAACGATGGCTGCAACCAAAAAATGGCCAGTGCTGTGGCGGGCGCCTGTGGTCCCAGCTACTTGGGAGGCTGAGGCAGAAGACTCGCTTGAGCCCAGGAGTTGGAGGTTGCTGTGAGCTGTGAGGCCATGGCACTCTACCTAGGGGGATAGCTTGAGGCTCCGTCTCAAAAAAAAAAAAGAAAAAAGAAATAAGCATAGAAGATGCATTCCAGACATCAGGCCAAGTACTGGACTGCATTAGAGAATGACAAGGAACTGATCAAAATGCGACGTAAACTGACAGGACTTAAGGGCCGTATTAAAAGGACAGGCTTTTAGACATAGTAATAAGTTATGGGTAGAAACGAGACACTACTCATTCTCCAGAGTAGGAAGTCATAATTATGAGTGATATTATCAGGGCCCGCTATCCTTATGCAGGTGTCCTCAAACTACGGCCCGCCAAGGACATTTATCCAGCCAGTTCACTGTCCCCCTGTTTAAAAAGTTTGAGGACCCCTGCTTAAGAGTAAAGATCCCCTGAGGAATAAGGAACAGGGACTAGCAGGGCTGAGCATGCCTCAGTGAGTTCATTGCAACCACAACCTTAATGTTGATGGGTGGAGGAAGCCCCCTCAAGGATTTTTCCAAGGTACAGACTCTCTGTACTTTCCAGAGACTTTTCTGAGAAAACAGATTCTGAAAATTGTGGTTGTGGGAAAATATAGTTGCCATGTAATATATTGGTAGAACTCACTAATCCCTAGATTTAAAAAAAATTATTGCATACAGATGCCTTATACAGTTTATCTTGCTTGGTCCATTTCATTTGCCACTTTTTTCTACCACTCATTACTATACATTTATACTTATTTCAAGCACCTTCAAAGTTCTCAGCCTCCCAATACCATCATAAATGAAAGATGCTATAAGGAAATGGGCTGCTATAGCTGTGAAGTTGACAGTGGGGTCTATTCCTGGAATCCAGGTTTCTAGAATCCTAATCAAGGCTTTGTCTTCCACACACAGTAGAACCTCTGTACCTTGACCACCCAAGGGACTGTGACAAACTGCTCAGCATGAGGAACTGGGCCTGCTGCACTGACATGTGTGGAGCATGTCCAGTCTATGAGGATCATGTCAACTGAAGGTGGTCAGTGAGGCAGGGGAACAACTGGGAGGTTCTGTGAGGTGTTACCCACACAGCCTAAAGTGGCGTGAGTTCTTAGTGAATGGCTACTTCTGAAGTAACTTTAGGGAACAAATATGGACACATACATGGGGGGACACTTTTTCACAGAGGTGTCCCTTCGTGCAAGGAGGCAGTTTTTATCTTATTTGTACTCAGAAGACACTTTCCCTATAGGCTGCTTCCACCTTGTGATTCAATCAGCATCTGGGTTTAGATTTTCTCAAGAACTTTATTCAGCAAAGAATCTCCCCAAATGACTCAAAGGTAACTATGTATGTTCTCTATGGGTGTGTGTGTACACATATGGGTACTATGTTAGCAATTTAGAGTACTTCCTGAGCTTCCTCTCCTTTAGAATTTTACCTAAAGTTCACAGAGAAATAGCTGGAGCACAGTTTCAAAAACCTGTCTCCAGTAACATCAGCAACTGAACCTTCAATTCTCAAGGTTTTTTTTTGGCTGGGGCTGGGTTTGAACCCGCCATCTTCGGTATATGGGGCTAGCATCCTACTCCTTTGAGCCACAGGCACTGCCTCACTTCAAGGTTTTTAAATAAATTTTGCTGATTTTTGCCTTTGCCTTGACTCAAACACAGTGTTCAAGTGCCTAGTCCTTGAGCTTACCACTCAAAAACTTCCTTTAGCTACAGTCACCTGACAGGGTGAGTCAGCAGTGGTAAGCCCTTATAGTTCCAGCTACTTGGGAGGCTGAGACAAGAGAATCTCCTGAGCCCCAGAATTTGAGGTTGCTGTGAGCTAAGATGCCACAGCGCTCTACTGAGGGTGATCAAGTGAGATTCTGTCTTAAAAAACAAAACAAAAACAAAACAAGGTGAGTCAGCAGTTTGCTGCATCATCACTTTCAATGATAAACTCTGGCTGTTTCCCAGCCTCAAAAAGGACACAGCCTAGCAGCAGTGTGCATCGTGACGGGCAGAGGGGACTGAGCCTGATGAGAACAGCCTGGAAGTGTACAGACAGTGGAGGGTGGGGGAGAAATCAGAGGCGGAGTCGGGGAGTATATCTGTTTCTCTTTGCCCACACTTTTTGGGAGTCCAATGGACGGAGAACAGATGTGGTCCACAGCAAGCCAGACAGTGTATATAATGAAGGGCGGCATGAGTCTTTAGCAAAAACTCCTCTCTCCAGGCACCAAATCCTGCCAAAGACACAAACACACAAAAACACAAAAGCTTAAAAGGGCTCGATCTGACTGCAAATTTAACTATAAGAAAGCAGCTGCACAGAAGCATATTAAGACAGGGAACAGGCAAGGAGTTGTCAAGCAAGGCCCCTGTTGTCACCCTCATTACTTTCCTGTTGTTACAGACAGATGATGGCTCCACTCACAGCAAAGGAGATGACTGTGCAAGCTGAGTCCTGACTTGAGAGTGAGGAGTTGTCTTCAAGGTTATGACCAGACACAGAGGCAGGTTCTATTGAGTAGTGAGGAGGAAAAAGTTAGACACTACTCAATTCTACAAGGTGCTACCAGCAAGACTCAAGAGAAAAATGGGCCTCTTGGTGCTCAATGACATGACTAAGAACCAAATCTTAACCTCCCTAGTTTAGAAAGATTGAGAAAAGGTAACCCCCAAAGATGCTCTAGGGAGAAAATGCTGTTTGTACCCGACAAGCTGGGGGAGGGTAGGGTATATGTCATCCCTCCAGGACTCTTTTCGGTCTCAGTGAACACAGAGATGAGAGAGGCATCTGTGTCTGCGGCCTAAGGGGATGAAAATGGGAGAAAAAGAAAGAACATGTTGGATATTGGAAAAGGAGGCGCCACCCTGTCATTTTTCTATCGGATCTGTTAAGGCACTTGGGTTTGGCTGTTGAGGTGGGGGACAGTGCCTCCTTGGCTGAACCGGTGGACCGACCAGCTCAGAGTGCTTAGGAAAGCTAACAAAATGTCATGCCTAGAAGCCCTCACTGTCTCCCAGGCACTGTATTTGTCCAGAGAAAGCACCCTAAATGCCGATGACAGCTCACTCACCACATCCTTCAACATGTCTGGGACACCTCTGTTTTCTTCCATGTCTTCAGGAATCTCAACTGCGTATCCTTTACGAACTAATTCTAGCCCAATATCAAGTTTCTGAGAAGAGAAATGAAGAGGGAACGATGTTCTCTCTGTGAATGAGAGGTAAACTGGAGGCAACAAGGCAGAAGAGCTAGAAATGATACTTTAAAGACATTCCTTCAGGGGGATGGTGAACAGGAGATAAAGGTTTCTGGGAAGTAAAGAAGGCTGTAAATATACTGAAGACACACTGATCAAGGAGTGAACTCCAGTCCTACCTCCCCACTGCTAGTGTCATATAAGTAGATCTTTGGCCACGTTGAGACCCCAGTGTGGACATAGCTAGAGATCTTGGCCATAAGGGGCTTCCAATCAGCACAGTGAGTGAGTCTGTCAAATTCATCCAATGCTTCCTCTTCCCACTGTTCACCTGGCAAAAGATTGTAGGAGCAAACCTCAGAAGGGGCCAGTGCTGACAGGGTGGGGATTATACCTGGAAGAAGTTGGAACTATCCCTCTCTACTCAGGAAGGCACCTGTGTATTCTTTGGTGGCAATGGGTCTGACAGCCAGGTTTATGACTGCCACTCTTTGGTGCTGGTAAAGAGAAGTCTCCAGAGTTCCCAAAGCCTGGGAATGTAAGAATCCCTCCCATGTGTGGTGTGGAAGTTTTTCTATTAAGAGGCACAGTTGGCGCCTGTGGCTTAAGCAGCTAAGGCGCCAGCCACATACACCTAAGGTGGTGGGTTCGAATCCCCAGCCCGG